AAAAAGGGGGAAACCAGTGGGAAGTGTAAGGTGGGGGAAAAAAAAAAAAAAAAAAAAAAAAAGTGATATACGTTTATAAAAATCGACCTATTTTTGTATGACCTGTCTGTACGTGCAATAACTCGGAAACAAAAATCGAGTTATTTCATTTCGAAATGGCCAACATCGTTCAGCCACTTTGTGTACCTTCCTCTTATAAAGATCAACAGTACCAGGTACTTTAATTTTTATATGCCATTCTTTAATTTTAGAGTCGTCAGCTAGAGAATTTACAAATTTCTGCAGGGCTCGTCAACAGAACTGGCTAAAGATCTTTCTAACAGTACAACTCTCTATGTCGGAAACTTATCGTTTTACACTACGGAAGAACAAATCTATGAATTATTTTCAAAAGTAGGAGAAATAAAAAGAATAATTATGGGTTTGGATAAGTTTCAGAAAACTCCTTGCGGTTTTTGTTTCGTTGAGTAAGTTATACATTATATCGATTTCTTATTTAGCATCGCAAGATTTACCAAAATTTCCTCATTATACGAAGATATTATCATCATCAAGACGCACTGGATTGTATGAAGTATATAAACAGCACAAAGTTGGATGAACGGATCATAAGAACGGATCTGGACCCCGGCTATAGAGATGGAAGACAATATGGAAGAGGAAGATCCGGTGGTCAGGTATTATGCAACCCCGTTATTTTCCAATTTTTGCTTGGAGATTTATTAATGTTTCTTCCTAGGTTCGTGATGAATACCGGCAAGACTACGATTCAGGACGAGGTGGATGGGGTCATGTTCGTGCTAAACAGGAAGCAGAACGTGCAAGAAGACAGAAAGAAGAATATGAAGCCATTACCATAATCCCCGCTGGAGCTGCTGAATACAAGGGCAAATGTTCGTATTCGGCCTATAGATTATCACTACGCGTGCATTGTTGATTTCGCTAATATGTTCTCCATTTACTTTTATGTCAGTATCGATTTCCAAGAAACGCAGTAGACAAGAGGAAGAGGAACAAGAGGAAAGTTATGGTCATGAGAAGGCTAAGGTATTATGGTTATATATATATATCTTTGTACTTGTAAAAAAAAACAGATTTTTTAATGTAAATTTAAATTTATCTTTAAGAATCCCCGTTTTAGAGAAGACAGGTCAGATGACGAAGATGAAATGCAGACAGATGTCTGATTTAACGCTTCTGGTAAAAATAAAAAAAGTAAATTTCTTATTAGAGAGTTCTACTAACATTATTTTGTTTAAAATTCGCATCATTATAATTTTATTGAAAATAAACAAATGAGTTTGATTTTCTGTTGTTAGTAACATTTCTACTTTTGAAATTATTTATTAAAGTCGCTTTAGAATGTATTATTTAAAACAGGTTAATGCGTTTTGTGTAACAAGTATTTTGATATAGATATATTATAATAAGTATTATAGAAATTATATTATTACTAACAAAGCGAGGAAATATTTTTAAAAAATGAAAAAAAATTTTTTTTAAAGAATTAACAGAGCCCAGTTTATTGAAGTTGATAGAGTGGACCTTACATTATTAGTCTAGCTGATAATTACAGAACAATTCTATAATCAATCTTATGCTTAATCATAGCAAGTTATGATCATCCTACCATTATATCCATAAACCTGATTGCAGCATCTTGTGTATTTCTGTGGCTTGTTGCTAGAAGAAGCTTTACTACCCACTACCTATGTCTATATTATTCTTTCCTGATTCTCATATTTACAGGCTTGGGATCTATAGCAATAGGATTCTTTTATATCTTATTCTATCAGATATTCTTTTTACAGTACTTATACAGTATGTCTATGGAATATCCATGTAAAGTCTTAGATATCATTTCATCCTACCAGAGTACCCTTTTTACAGGACCTATTACAGCTTGCCTATAGAGTGATTATGTGAAATCTTGAATAGATATCGATTTGATAGAAATCCTCTTCTAACTAATGTGTCTAGATTCTATTAGTTTTCTTGATTTTACAGTATGCAAATCTTCAACTTATCTACAGGAGCTTGAAAGAACCTATCTTGTGACAAGATAACTTCAGCACTAAAACTGACTAAAGTATTTTGTGATCTTTGAATATTCTATAATTGAATGGAATTTTGATTAGAGGTAGTTAGATCATCATAGAATGAATAGAATCTTCTTTATATCACCTAAGCTTAGGTAATACTGTCTTGTAGTAGTATTGAATTTGGAAACAGTACTTGGTAACCTGGAAGTGTTTGTTATCATTGTGCTATTGACCCACAGGTTAAAATGAAAATTTTAATATTATTATTTTGAATATTTTTATTATAAAAAGCAAGACAAAAATTTTTTTTTGTATTTTTTTTTTTTGTAATATTCATAATCAGGTTAAATTATTTATAATTAATAGAATATATTAGCACTTATTAATTTGAGTAGTATAATATATACTATAAATAATTTTTTTTTTTAACCCACAATCATATCACAATGACATGTCTTTATTAAGATATTGAGAAATACCTAAATAGTTTACCGACTTTCACAAAGTGACTAACTCGTCGTTATATATTATTAATTAAAGGACTATACTACTTAAAAAATATGAGAAGTCTACTAAGCAAGTTCAGACTAAACAAAATTAAGTCTAAACTATATACTCTAAGTTAGATTTAGGGGACAATATTTTACTCTCCTAGTAGCTTGGCAATAGTGCCTCTAAGTCTACTAGGGTTATTGCCAACAGTTTATCACTATAGATTATCCCGAAAAATAATAAATTGCTAAAGTTGGCACTGGGAAACGGGAAAGGGGGAATGCAAATCAAAGCCCTCCAAAAGGTTTTTGCTCCATTTCACAGTTTCCTTTCAAAAGGGATTTGCTTATTGGAATATTCTCTAAGCTTCATGATATTTGAGGAACTTAGCCATTTCTGAAAGTGACTTTAAGAAGAACATTTGAGAAACTTATCCTTCTTCGATATATAGATTCACTTATCACTAGTGAGGCCAGCACCATATTATGGAAGAGTTTACCTAACCAGGATAAAGAAATCTTTTCAAGAACTTTGCCTGATCAGGATAGAAGCTTGGAGACCCCAGCTTTTGTCTAAGAAAGCCTTTTTATTACCTGAGAAACTTAATGAGAGATAGAAGTTGAATCTTCTTTTCATACCTGTCACTCGCCTTTCAGTATCATAATTGTTTCTTGAAGGTTGAACATATATGATTGGAGGGAACACTTTTTCTAAAACTTTTTTTCTTATATTATCAATGATGTATCAAGGTACGTAAGTGTATTCAATAGGAGCTTGTTTACATTCCAAAAACTGATTTGTTTTGTGTCAGCCAATCAATCACCTTTGGTGAGAATTTGTGCTATCAGAAATTTAGAGTCAAACTGAGATAGACAAAATTCCTCAAAAAACCATAAAAATGATAGCTT